CCATAGGTTCTCCCCGTCCGGGATCCATACCCGCGTATACTGAAATATACGCACATACAGACACACATACATAGATAAAGACACACACAAAGATTAAAAAGACATGTACACATGCAGATAAACAGACAGACACACACACACATTTACAAACACACGCACATACACATAGTGACATGTAGAACACACACATGTAAACAGACATACACAGGCACGCAACAAGTCACCCACGACAAGCGATGACTCATGAGTAATCGGTGCTTACAGAGCAGCGGGCGCGCAGTCAAGACGCGGACTAATACAATGCGAGTGCTGCGCCAAACGTGCGGCCACGGGGTCAGTGAGAGGAGCTGGGGGCCTCTCATCAATTAATCCCCCAACAAAAGCGCGAAACAACGGCGGCGGGGGGGGGGGGGATTTTCACAACAACAACAAGAACAAGAAGCTGTTGTGCAGGTTTGTGTGGAAGGAGAACAAGATTGAAATGTCCTGCGATGGGGGGGGATGGAGGAGGGGGTGGAGTTAGACACCTGCATCTGGCATATCAAAAATACAGAAGAAAATAGGCATGGCCTGATAAGCAACCGGGCTTCATATCTCGTACAAAGTCTACAATGGAGGCATGGCAACAACTGAGACAGGAAAAGACAGCCAATCAATCAATCGTTAATAATCACCGTTAATAATCATCAATAAACAAAAGACTGATTTGAAAGACTTCCTGTTTGAGGAGGCCACGCCCCCTCAAGCTTCCTCATAGCAGGAAGCTCCACCCACCAAGAGGAGGCTGCGGATCAAGACGTACAAGAACTACACGCACACACTCACGTGCACAGAAGGCATGCACATAAAGATGCACACCTGCGCGTGGGCGCACACACACACACACACACACACACACACACACACACACACACACACACACACACACACAAACACACACAGATTAGCACACAAACTTACAAACGTGCGCATGCACTCACTTTTGTGCACAAACTGCCAAACACGCACGTGCAGACAATTGTACACAAACATACACACGCTTGAACACCAACACACACACACACAAAAGCGCACGAATTAGCCTAGCTAATGTCGCACATGTTGTGTGCCGGTTATGATGAGGTCACCAACGTGCAGCATGTCAAACTTTTGTGACTCACTGTCGTTAGTTGTGAGTCAGTGGCGTACCGTTGTGCGTTTGTGTTGTGTGCTTGTGTTGCGTCTATCCAGCATCTGTTGTGGGGACCCCCAGACGTTTTAATCCTGCGCTGCAGGTGGCAGTGGAAGCAGATGGAGTTGTGTGTGTGTGTGTGTGTGTGAGGACTTAAGGAGGTAAGTTTGCCACACCGCCGAAATGTCTGCTACTGACAATAAAAGGTGCTTGCTCAAGGAGCTCTTCAACTCAGCTTCAGTTGTTGTCCTCTTTGAAAACAGCAGCATGTCACTTTAATACTAATAACAATAGCAATAATAATAATAATGATACGCAGAAAAAGATGAGGGGTACTCCAACAAACATGCTCACATTAGCAGAACGACTTCTACACCTGAATACATGATGAGATCAATGTTTGCTACCCTCGAACGGCTGCTTGCGACATTGACGATCAATTTGAGGACCCTCAAGGAGGTCACAAAGAAACCCAAGTTGTCCAATTTGGAAACAACTACAGGCCTCCCTCGCCTCGCTTCATTGAAGGTCAGGGTTCAAGACTCTAAATTATTTTCTAAAGTCACAGAGTGACACATGGTGCAGGTTGCACATTCCTGATCTGTGTTGACCGTTTCTCACAATATTCATGACAATGACGTGCCAAGGTAGGAAATAGATGACTATCAATATGCAACATTATCGCCATAAATCTCTGCAAGTGTTTCCATATTTGAAATCACAATGTCCATTAAGTGCTTAACTATATTTGGAACATACAACTCATATTTTCACTGGTATCAGTCATATTGAGTTATATTGTTGTAGAGCAGAGCTCACCAAGCTCCAAGGACCACATAAGAAGACTGTGGGCCTACTCGAAAAATGGCTCACCAGTGATTTTGGAGACTGTGATTTTCTAGGAATATGTTTAAGTGATCATTTGAAAATATCAACACTGGCAGATTTCTGTCCTGGATACTGACAGATATCCGTGTCCTGATTATTGTGAGAAATCCTTCACATGATCGGTCTTCACTTTAATGAAGCACATTAATGATTAAGAAGACCACAATCGTAACATTAATAAAGGTCATTTGTGCAAGTAACTTATTTCAAGCTGGTAGACCTTTGAGTCAATCAGTACCGTGACTCAAGAAGTAGCTCTCACTTTCACAATGGTTGCTGACCCCTGTTCTAGAGTAACAGTACAGTACTCTTACTTGACTACAATTTGAATTTAGGTCACCGCTAGTCACCTCTGCTCACCAGTTAGTCCGGGAGCAGTTTTTTTGTAGAATATTTAGTTTTAAATAACTATTTCGAGGCAGAATTTTTACTTTTACTTGAGTCCTATTACACTAGAGGAGGACAGGTCTTACTTGAGTAACTCCAAATAATTTATAGCTACTCAAGACATTTCCATAGAGGCAACACAAGCAGAAACTTGCTCGTACACACAACACCGAACCGAACTGAGCCGAACCGAATCCAACCAAAGCGGGAAGCATGGCGTCATCTTTCTTCCCTATTTGCGTCGCCCGGATCACGGCAGGTAAGCGACAGGTGCTCTCGCGCACTCGTGCGTCACCAAGTCGCCCATAGGCGTCACTAAATAAGCGAGCGACAACGTCTTCCTTCCCGAACCAACACACAGGCAAGCTGGCAGGCTGGCTGACTAACTAACCAACTAAATAACTAATTAATGGAGTACTCGACTGACTCACCGTCGTGTAGAGCTCGTTGACCGACATGTTTCTTTTTACTTCCCGAGGACCGCCAAAGTCCACACGCGCGTGCGCGTTCAACCCGGAAACGGCCGCCGCCGCCGCCGCTCACGACAGGTGCATCTTGGCAGGTACTTCCGCAAAGGCGGCCGTTGCGATTTCTTCTACCAACTATTCTTTTTTTCTTTGAAAGAGAAGAGTTGACTTGATTTGAGGTGAGTGTGCAAGACCATCCGGTTGCCGAGTTTCTTTCATGGACGGCACCGGGTTGACTGTTGACGTGCACGCGCACCGCTTAAAGAGACAGTACACCCTCGCCACGCAGGTGCTGCATAGACGTGCGTTGTGATTGGAGGCGTGCTGTGACGTCATCGCGCGACGTAGACACCACGATGACGTTATGGGACGCAAAATAAACTTTGCAAAAATTCACTTTTTGTTTGCTCTCCTTTTAATAAAGTGGTCACCCATCAAGTTTTAAAGTTTTAAGTCTATTTTTAGATTGATCAATTTTTTTTCGACTATCCTCAACTAAACTTTCAAGTTTCCATTCTTGACGTTTACATTTGTTTACTTTTTATTTTAAACTGCGGTCAACCGACGAATACTAGCTGTGTATTTAACTTTTTTTTTTCAAAAACTTTTTTCAACCAGTCCTTTTACTTTTATATTATTTTCAAATTCTGTTTAAAGAATAGTTAAACCTCCCTCGACTGAAAAAAACATTCATAACTTTTGATCTTGTTAAAACTTGCATAAATTACCCTCAACCCGCATTTGAACTTTTTATTCTTTTATTTTTTAATTAGCTATTTTTCGTTGAACTGCCATCTACTGACACATTTTACCTAACTTGTTTAAAAATTCCAATTTTCACTTTTTTTAATTAAATTATTCGTCATTAATCTTCAACCACCTTTTCATTTTCTTTTTTAATTTTCTAATGAAATTTTTGTTGACTTTCGAACTCAATTTAATCACTTATGTTTTGGCCTTATTTGAACTGTCCTCAGCAAACCTTTGGTCATTTTATTCTTTTATCTTAACTTTATTCTTTTATCTTAACTTTCAAATGTGTGCCTTTTTAATGCATATTCTTATTTAAACAGCTATCAACGTATTTTTTAAAGACATACTTTTAATCAAAACACAAATATTTGTATTCACTTTGAACCGATTGAGATGTTTTGGAGCTGCGAACCATGTTGCTGCGCTGTAATAACCATCTTGTGTTTCCAAGCACTTTGACATAAGAAATGAAATGAGCGCTTACCTTTTTGTAAGGGTTATAATGTGAGCTCATATTTCTTCATGTGTGGTCTCGATATTGATGTGACGTGTCTCCCGTGTGGGGAAGTGGGAAGCCGACGACACTCTCCCTTCCTGAACACTCCCTCTACAGGTATGAGCTTCCAGCGTCCCGCCCAGAACTGCCACACTGATTTTTCCGCAAGATTAATCCTAATGTCACATCAGCGCCATCAACTGGTTTGACATGAGCGCTGCGTAGCAGGCACGTGCATACATTATTTTTGGGTGCAGGTGCTCAAGCCAAAAATTTATTTTGAAAGTTTTTGAGGGTTCTGACTAGGAACAGCTAATACTTGGTGTTTTTTGCATAATATTTCACCATGATAATTTTTGAAAGTGTAAAGATTTAATTTTAATGACTTTGCTTCAAATTCATATTAACCTTACATGTCACATCTACACAGTAAAAATGATAAAAGCAAACTTGAGGTTAGCATGTTGGTTCGGAACCTCGGTAAGCATTCCAGTTTTTCATGTGGCTTCTTGCATATTTCATTGGCCACTCCTACCCCGAGGGTTTGTGGCGAGTACTTGACGCAAAAAGCTTTTTCACTGTTGCTTCTGATCGATGGCCGCTTTCCGAAACGGGTGCAAGACGCCGTCATTGGGCCTGGCCATAACTTCGTCTTTCTTCTCCAGCTTCTCCTGCTCCATCTGCTCCAACCGCTGCTGCTCCCTCAGCTCCTCTTCCTCCTTTTCCTTCCTCTCACGCTGACGCTGCTCCATCTGCGCCCGGAGCTCCGTCTGGTACGCCGTGTACGCCTGACGCTGCCTGCGGGGCGTGCCGCAAACGTCGCGCAAAATGCCCAGCAACCGAGAACAAACGGGAGACCCGTCGGCGCACGCACCTCTTTGCCACCTCCTCGTCGGCCCGCTTCATGTCCCGGAAGGCGGCGTCCAGCTCCACTCGCTCCTTGGCGATGTCGGCGCGTCTTTGAAAGTCAAGATGCTCTACGAGTGCACACACACACAACACAAAACAAATGAACTTCAACAGTACAATGACAGCAATAAAGAAATATGTTCATCCAATTTGAAGGCTTGATGACTGAAAGAGTCAACGACTTAATCGAAGTAGCGTGTTAGGATGAGACGTGTCTCCAGTTCTTACGTTTCTGTACATTCTGCAGCCGTCGGGACTCCATGACCTCGTTCATCAGTCGGTTCCTGGCCTCCTGCTGCAGGAGATTCTGTCTATCCCGTTCGTCCCACGTCTCTTGCATCTTAGCCGCCATCATTTGCTCCATCTGCTCCTCATCCTTCTTGCGTTTGATCATCTGCTCGGCCAAATACTGACGGAAGCGGAGGTCCTCGTCTCTCATGCTCGCCTGCCGGGGTGACACCGGATGAGTATGGACCGCCCCCAAAAAATAAAAATAAAAAATGGTGGCAACAATGGATACACAGTATTTAGTCTCCACAATGGGACGGGGGCGCGAAAGGGGTGTCCCCGCTTATCGGCCGTCTCCTGCTGGGCCTGAGTCTCGTCTTTCTGTGACTGGCGCAAGATTTTGAGGCCCATCTGGAGCTCTTCCTCCTGATCCTTGGCCATGCGCTCCATCTTCAGACGCAAACTGTCATCCAGCATCCGCCGGCGGGCCGTCTGGCTGTCCCGTTCCAGGCGACGCTCGCGCTGAACTTGCTCCCGCAGAGCCTGCATTTCCTCCTCCTGCACGCACACACGCACACAGCAAGTGAAGACAGGACAGACACGCACGCATGCTCGGACAGCGGTTAGGCCGAAGCTGGCCTCTGAAAAGGTAGCGTAGATGTACAATAGACATTCTCTCAAAATTGTTAGAACATAATAAAATTTTTTTTTAAAAAAATCACAGCTGACCTCCTGCCGCGCTTCCTCCTGCCGGGCGAGGCGCTCGCGCTGCCGCAGGGGCGCGCTACAGGTATGAGCTTCCAGCGTCCCGCCCAGAACTGCCACACTGATTTTTCCGCAAGATTAATCCTAATGTCACATCAGCGCCATCAACTGGTTTGACATGAGCGCTGCGTAGCAGGCACGTGCATACATTATTTTTGGGTGCAGGTGCTCAAGCCAAAAATTTATTTTGAAAGTTTTTGAGGGTTCTGACTAGGAACAGCTAATACTTGGTGTTTTTTGCATAATATTTCACCATGATAATTTTTGAAAGTGTAAAGATTTAATTTTAATGACTTTGCTTCAAATTCATATTAACCTTACATGTCACATCTACACAGTAAAAATGATAAAAGCAAACTTGAGGTTAGCATGTTGGTTCGGAACCTCGGTAAGCATTCCAGTTTTTCATGTGGCTTCTTGCATATTTCATTGGCCACTCCTACCCCGAGGGTTTGTGGCGAGTACTTGACGCAAAAAGCTTTTTCACTGTTGCTTCTGATCGATGGCCGCTTTCCGAAACGGGTGCAAGACGCCGTCATTGGGCCTGGCCATAACTTCGTCTTTCTTCTCCAGCTTCTCCTGCTCCATCTGCTCCAACCGCTGCTGCTCCCTCAGCTCCTCTTCCTCCTTTTCCTTCCTCTCACGCTGACGCTGCTCCATCTGCGCCCGGAGCTCCGTCTGGTACGCCGTGTACGCCTGACGCTGCCTGCGGGGCGTGCCGCAAACGTCGCGCAAAATGCCCAGCAACCGAGAACAAACGGGAGACCCGTCGGCGCACGCACCTCTTTGCCACCTCCTCGTCGGCCCGCTTCATGTCCCGGAAGGCGGCGTCCAGCTCCACTCGCTCCTTGGCGATGTCGGCGCGTCTTTGAAAGTCAAGATGCTCTACGAGTGCACACACACACAACACAAAACAAATGAACTTCAACAGTACAATGACAGCAATAAAGAAATATGTTCATCCAATTTGAAGGCTTGATGACTGAAAGAGTCAACGACTTAATCGAAGTAGCGTGTTAGGATGAGACGTGTCTCCAGTTCTTACGTTTCTGTACATTCTGCAGCCGTCGGGACTCCATGACCTCGTTCATCAGTCGGTTCCTGGCCTCCTGCTGCAGGAGATTCTGTCTATCCCGTTCGTCCCACGTCTCTTGCATCTTAGCCGCCATCATTTGCTCCATCTGCTCCTCATCCTTCTTGCGTTTGATCATCTGCTCGGCCAAATACTGACGGAAGCGGAGGTCCTCGTCTCTCATGCTCGCCTGCCGGGGTGACACCGGATGAGTATGGACCGCCCCCAAAAAAAAAAAAATAAAAAATGGTGGCAACAATGGATACACAGTATTTAGTCTCCACAATGGGACGGGGGCGCGAAAGGGGTGTACCCGCTTATCGGCCGTCTCCTGCTGGGCCTGAGTCTCGTCTTTCTGTGACTGGCGCAAGATTTTGAGGCCCATCTGGAGCTCTTCCTCCTGATCCTTGGCCATGCGCTCCATCTTCAGACGCAAACTGTCATCCAGCATCCGCCGGCGGGCCGTCTGGCTGTCCCGTTCCAGGCGACGCTCGCGCTGAACTTGCTCCCGCAGAGCCTGCATTTCCTCCTCCTGCACGCACACACGCACACAGCAAGTGAAGACAGGACAGACACGCACGCATGCTCGGACAGCGGTTAGGCCGAAGCTGGCCTCTGAAAAGGTAGCGTAGATGTACAATAGACATTCTCTCAAAATTGTTAGAACATAATAAAAATTTTTTTTAAAAAAATCACAGCTGACCTCCTGCCGCGCTTCCTCCTGCCGGGTGAGGCGCTCGCGCTGCCGCAGGCGCTCGGCCCCGGCCATTTGCTCGCACAGAAAGTCCATCTGCATCTGGCTGCAGTGCCGCGCGTCGGACGCCTCGCGCCGTTCGCGCTCCTCCTTGGCATGAGCATCCGCTTGCCACATCTGGTGGAACATGTCTTCCTCGCGCTGGCGCGCAAGGGCGCACTCCTGCTGGCTGCGGATCTGGGCCGCTCGTTCCTCGGAAATCTGCAAAACTCGCCGCTTCGTCTGGGCCTCGCGGAGTTCCTGGCACTGCTCCCTGAACGCAAAACAGTTTGTGTCACAATCAAGCTGAAACACATACAGTGGATCCTCGTCATTTGCAGTGATAGGCATCCAACGAGCCTATTGGTAATGCAGTCATGTATATGAGTTGAGCTGAAGGCACTTTCTGTTTTCACTCTTTCAAATTTAATAAATGTCTCATATCCATTTACGTGGCACCATCCAGTGGTCGACAGTGGAATTACACCTAAAAACAGCAGCATGAACAAAGAGGAGGTCGGATTTCAAGTGCAATGGGTTGTTCGTTGTGTTTGCTAAGTCTACAATATGAATCGATGAGACGCGTTATTTTGAATCGGTCGCCGCTCAATGCCAGATCATATAAAACCACGAGTGGTCGACCCCCGAGGAACGGCTGTGGATTTCAGTGTAGCCCACCTGAACTGCTGGTCCAACTTTTGTGCAACCACCTGTCTCCGCTGTGCCTCCCTGGCGTCGAGCAGACTTTTAGCTCGCTCGCGCATCTGCGTTTGCCTCTCCAGCGGGGTCACCCGGTCCAGGCGAGCCGCCAGCACAAGCTGCCGCTCCTCCTCGTCCAGAAGCTCTCGTAGCCTGTGGACCCCAGAGACCCATCTGTTTTAGCAAACAGATTTTCATTCGGTGCACCTGTGGTCTTCGCAATGCCAAGGTTCTGAATTTGAATCTCGGACACACTAAAGACATCAATGATTGGTCCCAGGTGGGAATATGAGCTGCAATGCGTGTTTGTCTGAGTGAGACCAGTCCATTGACTGGCGACCATCCAATCCTTATCTGTACTTGATGTGGACCGAGTTGAGGTCAGAGGCCGAAATGTCTCCACCATTGTGGGCATCATCACCTTTGTTGGCGTTGGTGGACGGAGAAGCGGTGCTGCATCATGACATCATCCACGTCCCTCCGGACGGTGTGGCCCACATAGCGAGCATCGCTGGACAGTAGCCAGCAATTGTTGACGCGACAGGCCTCGTTCTCACGCGCGCCCTCAGTCGCACGCTCACGCAGCTGGTCCTGCTTCTGCCGAAGCAGCATGGCACGGCGTGCGGGAAGCATGCTTGCTCACGCTTCGGATTCTTGTGAATTCTTCTTGGTCGTACGCCGATGGTGTGGCTACTATTAAAAAAAAAAAAAAAAACAGTTTTTGGAGAGAGGTGAGGGGAATTACGAATTTGGTCCTGAAGGTTTGCGATTTGTAAGGCTTCACTCAGGCATTCTCAAAATCGGCCACATCATCTCCCTCTAGTGGTAGACAACAGAATTACTGCCCATGTCGTGTTGAATTGTATTTCAAGGGAAGTCAATTCAGAAATGTTCTAAATAGCATTAAGTGCCCCTATTTGTCTCAACGTGGCACTGATACACACACACACACACACACACACACACACACACACACACACACACACACAATCTGAAACCTTGATTTACAAACGACCCTTTTTACAAACTTTTCAAGTTATGTACAGGAGACTGAAGGGAGAAACCCCCATAAACAAACAAGAACCGACCTGAAAAAGCATTTGAAATGAAAAATGCCACAGTCATTAATTGGCTCACGGGCTTGATGCACTTTGTGCAAGTAAGGCTTATGACACCCAATACAGTATTCCATATTATTCAAGCTCATGTCCGGTCCATACTCTTGTTCACTTGAAAACTGGGTAGCTTTAAAGAAAAGGTGCTCTGTCCTGAGTTGTCAAACACATGTAAAAGAGATGAGATGTAAATACTAAATAGAATTAAATACTAGCTGGAACTCTTAACGTTTGTCTTATATTCACCTTTTGATCTGAAACCCAAATGTCTTGTACACCATCAAAAACCAAAGAAACTCACCTGGCGTTCCAGTACTTTCGGATAAAAAGAACACCTGCGAGCAGTTCTCCAAACGCGTAGTCGTCGAGTGTGATGTTCCCTCCAACAAGCATTAAAAAGTGCTTCGACTATTTTTGACTGACTTTTCAATGCATTCAGTTCATGATTGACAAGCTAGCGGCCTTCTTTCTTTCGTGTCGCGTCATACGTCGACACTTTTTAAGTTCGACGTTCTTGTCTTTTTAGTCTCTCAAAATACATATTTTTTTTCATTTTCACACTGGCTACGAGCTAACTTGTTTAATTTTTGATTGGCTGACTAAAACGGAAAGGTTTTGGCGACTTTCTGCTCCGCCGCGGCCGCGTCGCCGAGGTGACGAGCAAACAGGGCTGTGACGTCACTGTGAGCCCAAAAGACACTCGTGAGCGTCGCGTCAAGATCACGTGACGAGAGTGCCGGAGCTCCAGCTCGGCGCACGGATTTTTTTTTTTTTTTAACATGCAAATTTGTTTTAGCTGTTAATTTGTCTAAGTCATTTAGGTGTTTCAGTTTGTTAGTGTTTTGCACTTACCAGCTAACGCAGAAAACAGAGCACCTGGACTAAATCGCAATAAATAAAGAAAACGCAAACTCAAAATAGAAAAAAATCAGATGAAATAGACAAAGGACAAAAAAAAAAGATTAAATTCAAATTAAGAGGAAAGAAAGGACAAAAGCAGGACGCTGAGATCAAAGGGGAAAAAAAGCAGAGAATTAAAGAAAATAAGAGCAGTATAGTCTACTGAAAAAAAACACGACGAAATAAAATTTGTAAACAACTTTTTTCAGTGTTGACATCTTTAAACATGCCCAAAAGTGTATATTAACCAAATATGCAACAGTCACTTTCTGATGAAGAGAAGAGGGGGGTGAAAAAAGAATAGTCAACAGAAAACGAACATTTGGGGTACCTGTAGTTAAGGTAGCACTGTTCATCACACCGTAAAATATAGTATTTGATGTATTGATAAACTCAATATACTCGTTTCTACACTTTCTTTTAGTTGCTTGCGAAGGAACGGAAATGTGAGATGCACGAAAACAGAACACATGAAATGGTTTTGAGTAAATTTATTTATTTTAAGAAACCAGCGGCCCCCAGCGGTGCCCGTCGCCCTTGTGACTACTACGCTGCCCACAAGTATGACCAAAGTAGTAGTAGTCAGAGATGGGGCAGGAAATGTTTTGATAAGGGATGTTGTAGACACGATGTAACGAGCTTTAGACATGGTTAGTTGCTTTTTCTAGATGATGAGACCGGAGATTCAGTCAGCAATTGGGAGGGAGTTTTTGAACGGCGGGCCCTGTGACCCCAGCAATGTTCCTGGGCCCCAGGAGCTGAAAAAGATGTTTTATCTGAAGAGAATGTTGCTTAAAGCAGAGAGCCACCCTTCTAGGTGTTCCAACCATTTGTGTTACTCGAGAAATTTTCCTAGGTGTTTTTGTCACTGGAGAAGTTGTCATTAGAAAAGTGGACATTATTGCTTGGATTGGAGTGGTTTGAGCTGCACTCCCCAGAGAAGTTGTGATTCCTGCTTGGGAGGGAGCTCTTGGGGCTGAGGCGGATAGAGTAGAAAGGATTGCGGTGGTTTGAGCCGGACTACTTGTTCCAAGTTCAGCTATGATTGCAGAAGTAGGCGTCTGAGGTCCGCGGGGAGGTTTTGTTCCCTGAAGGGCCATACGTGCACGGTACGGATAAATACCAATACTTGTTCCAAGTGTTTCAACCCCTGGAGAAGTTGTCACAGCTGTCACGGTCCCTGGAGCAGCTGTTGTGGAAACTTGGGGGAGAGATGTTGCTAAAGCGGCTGTTGTAGACAGGACTGCAGTTGTTGGAGACAGACTACTTGAGGCTCTACTTGTCGGTGACACTGGAAAAGTGATTGTTGTTTCTGAAGGAGATGGTGTTGATAGGATTGCGGTTGTTGGCGCCAGATCACCGGTTGTTTTAAGCGTTGACGCCGCCGAAATTGTCTGAGAAGGGGAGGGAATTGCGGAAGCAGTCAGTCTACTGGTTGGTCCTGATGACACCGGAGAAGTAGTCAGAGCTAAGGAGGGAGTTTTCATTGCAGAATTGGACCCCGTGGACAGAATTGCAGTGGTTTCAGATGGACTACTGGTTGACCCAACTGTTGCTGTGAATGCAGAGTTGGTTCTAGATGTTGCTGACATGAGAGAAATAAATGTAGCTTGGAAGGGAGCTGCGCTTCCTAAAGGGGATGTTCCACGCCCAACTGTGATGGTTTGACTCAGACCAATTGTTCCTGCTATAGAAGTTGTTCCAAATGTTTCTGACACGGGAGAAGTAGCCGTCCGAGCTTGAAGGGGAATGGTGCTTCCTGAAGGGGATGTTGTCAGCTTGATTGTAGAAAGTGTCGTCAAGGTTACATCAATTGGACCAGGAACGGTTGATGTGGTGGTCTGAGAGGTTTTGGGTACAGGAATTGTGACTGGATCAGAAGTGGCTGTCGTGGGGATCGTATTTGTAGAAAATGTCGTTGAAGCCGCAGTAGTTGTGATTCCACTCGAAGTCAGCGCAACGGTGGTTTTAGGCTCAGGACCCGGAGTGGTCGCAGCAGCTGTAGAAAGTGTCGTTGGGGTTGCAGTAGTTGCGGTTTCAGGAATAGTTGAGGTCAGAGCAGAGGTTGCCGTGGGTACAGAACTTGTGTTTGGAGAGAGAGTTGTACGTGCAGGTGGAGTTGTGGGTACAGCAAAAGATGAAGTGGAGGTGGTCGTGGGTATTTTAGCTGTGGGAGGAGTTGGAACTGCGGTCGACGTTTTCGTTTGTGAAGGTACTGAGGTGGTTGTGGGTAAAGGACTTTTACTTGGAGCAAAATTGGGCATCATGGTAGAAGATGGGCCGACTGTGCTAATTGTAGTTGGAAGAGTTGTCAAGAGTCTCTCAGTGGCTGTAGCAGTTGTGTCGTAGGTGACTGCGCTAATTATAGTTGGAGGAAGATTTGTCGAGAGTCTCTCAGTGGCTGTAGCAGTTGTGTCGTAGGTGGTTTTGGGTACTGGAGTCTGAGCAAAAGTCTTCACCGTTGTCGGAAATCTAGTGGTTGGCATAGTTGTGGTTTGAGCAAGAGAAGTCTTTGTAGTCGGGGTTGGCGGGTTTTTTGGTACTCCGTTAGTCATGGTCAAAGATTTAGTAGTGACAAGGGCGGGAGTCATGGGTGCAGCAGAAGTCGCAGTCGAGGCAGAGACGGTATCAAGTACAGATGGGATTCCAAGTGTTGTAGTTGAGGCCAGTGGAGTTGTGTGTACAGCATGAGAATGTGGAGCAGAGGTGGTGGATGGCATTGTGGATAAGGAAAGCGCAATAGTGGTTGGGGGCATTTTAGCAGTTGCGCTCAAAGCAGAGGTTGTTGGTCCAGAACTTGTGGTTTGTGAGGCTGAAATTGTGTCCTGTGTCGTCGAAGCTGGAGCCGTGTTGGTTTCAATGATAGTTGAAGTCAAAGTAGAAGTCGTTTTGCCTAAAGGACTTGTTTGAGCGGGATTTGTTCTTGTTGCCGTAGTACTCGTGATTCGGGTCATAGGGACGACTGTGTGTACGGGATTTGTGATTGGAGATATTGTGGTTTCGGATAGTGTGGTTAGAGGCGCAGTAGCAAAGGTGGTGGTGTGCATTGTCGCATTTATGATTCTGGAACGTACAGTAGAGACCGATGTGGTGTGTGAGGGGCCTAAAGTGGTTGTGGGTTCATGGCTCGAGGTTGGAGCAGGCGCGTTTATCGCGGCAGATGAGGTTCTGTTCGGTACCGCGGTACTCGTGGTCAAATCAAAGGTTGTGACCAATTCAGGAGACGTTGACGTGGTCATGGAATGACCTGCGATTGTTTTTGGTTCAGGACTTGTGGTTGGAGCAGAAGCGGTCGTCATAAGAGAGGAGGGAGGTGTGGGTATTGTGGCTACCAGGACTTGTGGTTGGAGCAGAAGCGGTCGCCATCATAAGAGAGGAGGGAGGTGTGGGTATTGTGGCTAGAGCGAGAGTAATATTTCTGACAGGTGCACCAGAGCCTGGAAGCACCGCAGTAGATGTGGTCAAAGGATCGGTCGTTGTAAACAGAGGATCTCGTATGGTTGGAGCCGACATTGGTATGGTTTGTGGAAGACTTTGGCTTGCTACTCGTTTAAGACTTGTGGTTGAGGAGACTGAAACGTTGGCCTGTGTGGTCGCAGGTACAACAATAGATGTCTTAGCTGAGGTCAGTGGGAACATATTTGTGGTTGGAACAAGAGTGGTCATCGAGGGAAGAGATGAGGTGGTTGTTGGCACTGCAGTCATGGTCCAATATGTCATTAAAGAGGCTGAGCTGGTTGTGGGTACAGAACTTGTGGTTGTGGGTCTTGTAGCTGTGCTTGAAGCAGGAGTGGTAGTTGGTACTCCACTTGTGGTGGCCATCGTAAAGGTTGTTGTGCCCAATTCAGGAGATTTTGATATTGAAAGAGTTCGGCTGACTTTCAGGATTGTACTTCTTGAACCCGATGGGGTCATGGTGGTAGCAGGTGAGGTGATTGTGGGCATCATGGAGTCTGATAGTTCACTTGAGGCCGCAGCAGTAGTGGTTCCAGTAGATGTTGGGGTAAGAGAAGAGTTGGATGTAGGTGCAGAACTTGTGGATGGAGAGGTAGGTGGAGTTATGGGTAAAATTGGACACACGAGTGTGGGCCGCGTAGTTGTGGTTGGCGCAAGTAGTGCCGTTGTCCTTCGAGATTCAACCGCAGTGACCACAACACTTGTGGAGGGGGTTGCAGGCACGCCACTTGTAGGAGCAGAACTGGTCATTGTGGGCATCTCACTTGTATAAAGTTCAGTTGAGGCTCCCGCAGTTGCGGGTTCAGTCGTGATTGACACAAAAGTAGAGCTGCTTGCGGATGACGGCGTTGTGACAGGTGCCGTAGGGGTGGTTGTGGTAGGAGATGAGCTGGTCGTCAACATCGCAGCAGACATGCTCCAAGGTGCGTCAAATCTAAACACCCCGCTGGGTACGGCAGAAGTTGTGGTTGGAGCAGAGCTGGTTGTAGCTCGAGGCATCGCGGGAGGGGTCATGGTTGCACATAGCGGGGCGGCTGCAGAGGTTCTACTTCCAGGAGTCGAGGGAGTTAGAGCAGAGATCTTTTTTGCGGTTGGAGAGACACTGGATGTTGGCGCTGCAGCAGTTGTCACAGAAATCGCGGGCAATGCTGGAGTAGTTCCACGGCGACTTTGTGGTATTGCGTCTGGACGTGGTTTTGGAGTTGTGGCGTCAGTGAGACTCGCACAAGCAGGAGCTGGAGAAGGTGAAGTTGTTGTGTCGCAGGGTCTTAAAGTGGTGGCACTCATCGTACTTGATCGAGTTGGTGCAAGATCACCGGTAGTGTCCGCCGTGTCATCTTCATTATATTCACCTGAAGGAATTTCATCATAACCCCACAATTCAAATATGGGGGAGTCCCGATAAAACACTGATATTGGAGCAGCGGTGGTGGTGGTGGTACACTCTAGTTCCTCTGTAGCAGCTTGAGAGTCAGAGTCCACTTCATCCCGCAAAGATCTTGGCTGAACTTTGTGTGGCCTTTGAGTGTCCGCGTTGTCGCAAGCTGCCAGCATGGTGGACATTTCCCCCAGAGAGTCCAAATAAACCACCATTGAATACTGCAAAGAATAAAACAAATATTATGAAGCCCGAACTAGGGTTGGATTTTTTGTTAGGTTCCTTTACCGTGTGGGCCGCAGTGGAGTTGAGCACAAATACAGAACCAGCTTCCACCATGCTGACTGCAGGACGGATTGGAGCTCCATCACCGATATTTTTGATCTTCAGAACCTTGGAGCCTAAAGGCAGCTGGACCAGGATTTGCGAGGGTTTGCAGAGCATCAAGGGGGGCGGCAGATGAAGGTCATTGGCCAAATCCTCGCAGGAAGCAAGTGCCACCATATTGGTCTGTAGCAGACTGTCAAAATAAAAGATCTGCAGCTGGTGGAAGCGTCTTCCATTTGCCACCTGGAGAGAAGTCGAGAGAAAATTAGTCCCATGACAAGGGCTTAACTTTCACGAGAAGCGACAACAGGTTAGTGTAGGGAGAAATGATTCCGTTTTCTTTTGGAATAAGCAGCTAGCATCAGATTAGAAATGAGATCAGATTTTTTTTTGAAGACATCGTTGGAACAGAATCAGGCTGGGCACACAGAGACAGTCTGGATGCTGTCCTGACTGATGTCTCTTAAAATAAAATGATCCAATCTTGTGCTAAGAGTGGATTTTTCATGATAATCGCGACGTGTAAGTATTAAAGAAATTACTCAACATGAATATATGACCAAAAAGCATGACACAGGGAAAGCCAATGACTGTCATTTGACTCTGTGGAGTGTGATGGAAGCTAAATTTAGCCAATCAAATAAGCACCCTGACTAATGGACAATGCAACAGTCCTACCCGATTTTTTTTTTTTTGTATGAAAGAGGGTCCACCAGATGGCAAGAAATATTTGACAAAGCAATACTTTGTGGATGGCATTGCCATTATTAAATTATGAAAGCTTCATTTTTTTTTTTGCAGTCGGCAGGCCAACGTCTTTTCTTTTATCAAATGTGCAAAATGAGAACGTAGTTAAACATGAGCCAATAATAAAATCAGCAACGAAACAGGAGAAGGTCAGCATATGCGATGGGCACAATAAACGCCCTTCAGATAGCAAAACACTTTGAGGGAAACGATTTTTTTTTTTCAATTGATGACGGGAAAGGCGTGCAGGAGATTGGACACTTTTTCCATCATGCAAAGGGAACTTGGGGAAGGTCTCTGTAACGTTCCTGAATCGAAAAAAAAAAAAACATTGAGACAATGCGTTGAACCAACTCAAACTTGGGACATTCTTGTGCATTTTCTACAAAAGAGTCGCCTCCCTGGCGGAGGTCCTGGCTCCAAAAGCGCATCGAGCGAGCAGCATTTGACGCATCAAAAAGTGCCGAACACGAGTGCGGGCGTCCACGTACCGCCAGCTGCAGGTGCGCGCTACCGTACGGCAGCTTGAGCAGCAGCACCGGACCGAACCTCCGAACGGAATCAGCAGAACTGTCGGGCAGCGCCAGCAGCCGAATTCCGTCTGCACGCACGTAAGCGTTCACAAGATGAAACGCGCACACGCACACGCGCACACACGAAAGCCACTCACTTGCCAGCCGCGCTTTGGAATGTCTGACGAGGGACAAACGGACCCAAAGCCTGTCGTCGCTGCAACGGAACTGCGGCCGGGTCAGGTCGAAAGAACCTTCACGTCCTGACACTGCATGACGCGCACACAGCAACAACACTCACAGCAGATTTTTCGGCTGTGTTTGTTATGCGCTTTCTTACCTGCCATAAATTTCCACACGGGGACCGGGAAGAACCGCGCCGGGTTGCGTCGACTGGGACGCGCGTCCCCGCCGGTCCCCTCCGCTATGTCGAGGTGGACTAGAGTCACCAGGGTGACCAAAAGCCAGGCCTCAATCCGCCCAGAAGGTCCCGACATGGTCCGGTCGGGTTGGACTGGGTCGGCTGAGGACCGGTTTCTTGTGTTCTGTTCGGTGGTTCGTCGTGAGCGGTGCTGCCCGGTTCTGCTTGGCTCTCCGAAGAAGATAACGAAAAAAAAAAAAGGCAACCCGCACCTGTGACTTTTGAAACAAATCACGACTGTGCCGATTGGATCATTGCAACCGGAAGTGGGCTGGGTCAATTAGCCTTAGGTCCTCTCACACGATTTTTGCAGGGCGTTCAATTTTAATGTTGTGATTTGTATATTGAACATGAATAATATCATCAAAAATGGTCCATTTCATGATATTCTGTTTTTTTTTTCAACCTTTAAAGATGTTTGAATACGTTCAAAAAGGCTGCCCCGCAAACCTTCAAAGCACTCTCACACGGAACCGGAAACCGGATCCAGGTGTGACCTGCGAGTAATTAGCGACGCCGTGGCTGCGTCGGGACGCACGTCGCCAATGTACTGCACACTCAAACTCTCTATATTTTTCTACAGAATGTGAACTTTACTACATACAGTAGTAAATGCAAACTGCTTTAACTCTTGTACTTAAGTAAAAGTTAAAATAAAATGAAAAGTACAGTTGCTGGGGACAAGGCGGTAACAGCAAGCAGGAAATGCTGACCACAAGCACTGAGTGTTTCGTGAGCAGTGACGTTCCTCTGTCGCATTCGGTGACGTCACGGTTGCAGTTACCGGAGCAGTTCGCTCAGGGATGGCTAGTGGGGACCGAAGCACCGTCAGGAATCTGCGGAGCCTCAATGAATTCAAGACAGCATTTTATTTGATTTTCTCAAATATATTTATACATTATTTTCTCAGCCCCCTTTCGTCCCCAGTAAGTAACAAATAAAAAGAAAAATCATTGGAGCTGTCCATGGTACCAATCTGCTCGAGCATGTACAGCGACCTGAAAATTCAACTTTTGTGTATCCCCCAAGACGCACCCGAACGGAACCCATGAAACGCTTTGTGACTTTGAAATGACCAGCAAGCGCTTTTCGTGCATTTGTTGTGTTTATGGGAGTTTATTTGTGGCGCGTGCATACACGGTTGACATCGATGAGCAGACAGACGCCAGGAAACGTGAGCAAAGAAAAACCACAAACAAAACCTCGGCCCTTCAAAGTAAGAGCAGCGACACGTCGGCTTCTTCGGGCTGCCTCGTCCCTCATTCTTCTTTGACGCCACCGCGGGATACGTGACGTCACATGCACTAGTAACCACGGGAACGCATCACACATGTCTGTGCACGTATGGTTAGGCGTCTTTGTGAATGCGTGTGTGTGTGGATGTTTGTGTACTGCTGTGCATGTGGATGTGTGTAAATCGTAAGCACTTGTCGGGTTCCTCAACTATTTTGATGGAAGCAGGTCACCACGAAGTAAGCAGTGTGTGTGTGTGTGTGTGTGTGTGTGCGTACGTGTGTTTGTGTGAGAGAGCAACAATGAGGAAATTATATTCTTCTGGTATGGTCACTTCCTCTCAGAAAAGCGAGGCCTTCTTCTTCAGTTCGTTCCGTCTCCATAGTGACAGGCGCTCGAACTCCGAGGCGCTCATCCCGAAAACTTGTTGGAACTGCTGAGGGTCCAGATGTCGCTGTGACACGCACGCACGCACACACACGCACACACGCACACACGCACACACGCACACACACACACACACACAAAAAAAAAACACACACACACACACACACACACACACACGCACACACGCACACACTTGCACTGTTCGTGGGTGCCAGCTCATTCCCTGCTGGCGGCCCCTCAAGCTTTGCCCCTCACCTCCAGTCTGGTTCGGTCCACTCCGGGTGGGAGCTTGCAGCGCCCTCTGTGGGTCACCACTAGCGCTTCGTAGGGATAAACCTGCTGGCGGGGAAACAACGGCGTCACATGTTTTTTTTTCGTGCGTGTATCTCAAAGTTACCATAAGTGTTCTGGGTGTGTCTACGTGTGAGGAGAAGGAGCCCACCAAATCAAGATGGTATCTCACCTTCTGCTCCAAGATGCTTGGCAGCGATGTCCCGCGGTCCAGAGGACCACGCTGTGGGCCGCCGTTCTGTCCACACACACACACACACACACACACACACGCACACACACGCACACACACGCACACACACGCACACACACGCACACACACACAAAGCACTCCCACACAGGCACATTGAGCTGACATCAGATAATCAGATATACATACACACTTACCTGAGCCACTGTGGAGACACAAAAACACGCACATCAATCAATAAATCAATCACTCGAGAGCGCTTAACAGATTACATGAGACAGTAAGTTGCGCTCAGTCCACCCACCTGCATTGTGGCCGTCATGGGAAAACTCGGCCGACTGCCTCTGAAAGCGTCACCAAATCGACATCATGTCACATGACATCATACGCTTGTCAATCATCCACAACATAGTGAAGGGCCAGCTCAATTCTCATTAATGTACATTGAGGAACATCGAAACAGGAAATAGTGACAAGAGCAAGTGGTAAAACCAAGCAGGAAGTGACCACAACAAACAGGAAGTGGCGCCAAGGGGCAGAAAATGGTGACAACCAGGAAGTGGCGAAAACACGCAAGTGGCGATGACAAACAGGAAGTGGCAATGACAAACAGGAAGTGGCAATCACAAAGGGGAAGGACTCACTCTGCTCAGACCGGAGCTGGAACGCGACGGCGACTTCGACGCGTTGGCTGACAGGCCTGCGGACAGGAAACAGGAAAGAGGCCGTGAGTCGGGACAGGCGGCGCCATGGAGAAGGGTGCTAGCTCGCCAGCGTCATCTCACTGCCGTGTGCGTGCGTTCTGTCGGGCAGTGAGCGCGTCTTCCGCCGGAAGTCGCCACCTTTCTCCTTCTCCTCGCGTAGGATCAGACGGCCCAGGTTGGACTTGATCTAGACACAGCGTTGGTCATGCACGCTCAGCTCAGTGATGATGTCACTGGCCCTATTTGTGATGTCATCATGCGCCAACCTTTTCCAGCTCCTGCTCCTGCAACACCTTGGCCTCGTCAGTCAGATCCTCAAAGTCGTCATCCTCTTCCTCCATTTTCTTCTTCTGCCACTCGATTTCTGCCAGACCGCAACAGGAAGTCATTGTAGCCAACTTCCTGTCGGGCTCTTCCTCCGTCCTTGGTGTGAGAGTCCGTGTGTGTGTGTGTGTGTCTGTGTGTGTGTCTGTGTGTGTGTGTGTGTGTGTGTGTGTGTATTGCTGTGGCTAACAGAATGTGAGGAGCGATAAACAGGAAGTGCCCGTAACAAGGAGGAAGTAGGAAATGGCGAAAAGTAACTCGAAAGCAGGGGTCACCGAGATGGCCCCCAAGACCACATGAGGAGCCTGCAGGCCTGTTCCAAAAATAGCTCACCAGTGATTGGACATTGCGATTTTCTAGGACTGTTGTAGAAGTGAGCGGGTGACACTCACCCATGGCAGCCAGCGACGGGGGGCAAGGCCAGAACTCGGTCTCGATCTTGGACGGCAGCTTGGGATCGGGAGGCTGAGCGGCCGGGAACTTGGCCGCCTGGATGACGCCGCCGACGCTCCCGCTGGTGGACTTGGAACCTTCTGGTTCAAGGTTGCGAGGAGGGGGGCCACAGTGAGGGAAGGTGGAAACGTGACCACAATGTGTCAAGTGGTACTCACCTTGTTTATAGATGGGAGGCTTTCTGTAGATGTTTGTCCCATTATCTGCAATACAATAGGTGCAGATGTGAACTTTCTCAAGTGTATGCGTTTGTGTGTGTGTGTGTGTGTGTGTTTCTTTGTGCAAGAATGGGCGTGTGTACCTGGCCGGTGGAAGTGTTGGAGACTGGCGCTGATTTTGCGTCCGGCGTGCAGTTGCAACATGGAGCCTCCAGGGGAGCCGCTGTCGCTTTCTGCTCGCCGCCCTTTGACCTGAAACAGGGAGTCGTAGCCCTGAGTGGTGGCATAGTGGCATTGCGTGGGCGGGACTCTTACCTCAGGAGACATGGTGGGCGAGGTGGCGGGCGGAGAAAGAGAGCGCTGAGGGACACAAACACGTCATACATGCGGGTGCAACTCAACATGCGGCTATGATGATCGCGTGACGCCAGTGACGTGACGATGGCGTGTCACCTGTCTGCGCGGAGGGTCCAGCGGCGAGAAGCTGAGGTGAGGCTGGTAGGTCATGAGGTCAGGTCGCTCCACCTGTAGGATGGCTTTATCGCGGGGTATAGCCGCCAGATCGCGGTATGCCACCACCTGTTCGTCCACGCGTGCCTGCGCCACAAGCATGCACATAGAAAGACACACAATACAAACACGTGCATATGTCACGCACGCACCACCACAGCCTCAACTACAATAGCGAAGTTTAGCTTCACATTTAGGATCAGTTAGCTCAGCATCAGTTAGGTTAGCATGTAGCCGTTTACCATGATGACGGCAGTGGCGGGAGACGACGGGGCACTGGGCCCTTGCGAGGACGACGAGTTCACAGGAGCGACGACGTAGCCCTCCACCTGACAGGAAGTCACATGACCAGGAAACACATACAGTCGGTGCGAGCTAACAATGCTAATTGGTTAATGTGGGCGTGGCTACTTACCTTGTTCATGATTGCGGATCACCGGGAGCCTGCAAAAAAAAAAAAAAAAAAAGTGTCACATGACAAAACAACAAAATATGCATGCAAAACACATCAAGCAAGGAAAAAAAACACATACATACACAAAAAACACTAAATGCTCACACCACACATAATTATACACACACGGGACATATGATTTAAAGTACGAATAAGTTGAATTGTGAAGTGGATGCTGTCTCATGACAACTAACACGCTGTGATGAAGATCACCACACACACACACACACACACACACACAC